CGGAAAAAGATTCCGGACACATAGCCCCCCGCAGGGGGGGGGGGTGTACTCATAGTCGTGCATGCCGTAGTCGTTGGACCATTGACCTCGCATCCCTACAAAGCCGGGACGGAGCACGCCGGGTTCTCACCGGACCAGGCTCTCACATCACCAAGCGCGAAGCGCCGTGAGGTATTCGGCGAGTCGCATGAAGGGTGAGCTGCATCCTGGTAAGGGTGTTCGGCATCTTGTGCTTACTTCCTTGCGTAAGGATGACAGCTGCGTATGACTTAATTTATTTTCTGGTGCTTTCACTTCCAGAGACAGTTGTAAGCACTGCTGTAACTGCCTCGGGGATGCTTGACCATTTTAACACAACGTGGTTGCGATCATCCCCCGTTGCGCGGAGCGAGGGTTCTCCACCCCGCACAACATGATCTACTCGACCACCATTATGGTTACTGCCAAAAAAAAATCAGAGGGAAAAAAAAAACGGTAACCTGGTTGCCGAGTTCACGAAGTGAATTGGCTTGTTTTACAACGTCGTTGCCAAGCGACGAAAACCCAATCCCGATGGCATACACCGAGGGGGGGGCTTGTTTTACAACGTCGTTGCCAAGGACGAAAACCAAACCCCGATGGCAAACACCGGGGGGGGCGGCATGTTTTACAACGTCGTTGCCAAGCGACGAAAACCCAACCCCGATAAACCCCCCCCTGGGGGGGGGGTGACTCATAGTCGTGCATGCCGTACGTAGTCGTTGGACCATTGACCTCGCATCCCTACAAAGCCGGGACGGAGCACGCCGGGTTCTCACCGGACCAGGCTCTCACATCACCAAGCGTGAAGCGCCGTGAGGTATTCGGCAAGTCGCATGTAGGGTGCGGTGCATCCTGCTAAAGGTGTTCGGCATCTTGTGCTTACTTCCTTGCGTAAGGATGACAGCTGCGTATAGTATATTTTCTGGTGCTTTCACTTCCAGAGACAGTTATGAGCACTGTGTAACTGCCTCGGGGATGCTTGATCATTTCAACACAACGTGGTGCGATCATCCCCCTTGCGCGGAGCGAGGGTTCTCGACCCTGCACAGCATGATCTACTCGACCACCATACATTATGGTTACCGCAAAGAAAAGAACAGAGAGAAAAAAGAAAAAGGGTAACCTGGTTTGCCGAGTTCACGAAGTTCACGAGGCCCCCCCCGCGCGCGCGGGGGGGGGGGGGGGGGGGGGGAGTTGTGAGTTTCTGGCGCGCTAGGGATGGACGGCC